GCCCTCTGCCTGGACCACCAGCTGATGCCAGCATGGGTATCTTCTGTGTCTCAGGGTGACTTAGGAGAAACAGGGAAATTCAAGGCTGGATCAGCAGCACAACAGGGTTTTGCTCTGCCCCATCACTGAGCATCAGCAAAACACGCTGCTGATGGGGGGGGAAGGAGAAGGAAAGCTGCGTGGATCAAGATGGGAGAAGCTCTGAGCAGATGAAGGATGCCCCAGCTGAGCTTCACAGAAACTCCACGGCATCAGAACTGCTGCTGCAGAGACGACATCTCTCTCAGCATCTCTGGCAGGAGACACGGACACACGGACACGTGCGCTCGGCTCCCTCCCGGAGGCTGGAGCCCGCTCTGAGCAATGGGTTAGCACTATTAGCTCTGTGCATTGCTTAATTAAACAGGATTTAAATGAAACTTGAGCAATGCATGGGGTCCTGCAGAGACCTCCTGTCCTCTGATCAGAAGCCCTCAGTGAAGTTAAGGAAGAAAGAAGGTCCCTTGGGTAAGGGCCAGAGCCAGGCAGAGATTTTAAGGAGAGATGAAGAGGAAAATAAATAGATGAACTGGGGGAAAGATAGAAGGGGAAGAAGCCAAGGGTTTGTTTTAGAGGTGAGGTGCCTGATTTCTCCCATGTTCCTGCTCTCTGGAAGGATGAAGCAAGAAGTGCTCAAGGCATAGGGCAAGAAGGGAATTAAAAGAAGGAACACCTGTCTGCGTGCCAAGTGCTGTATTCATTCTCACTTTTATTTCTGCAGACTGCTCAGCCGACGCTGGATGCACCATCAGCCAGAGCTGAGGCACAATTAAGCCTTTCTGCAGGAATTCACAGGATGAGCCGTTCCCACAACGTGTCAGTAGGTGGCAAAAAGCTACAACCCTTGTGCTAAGCCAGAAATAAATATTTTTTTCCTATTCCTGCAAGAGCTGGAGCTAGCTGTGGGCAGTCTGTCCCATCAGTGGAGATGGATCATGTTCCCGATGGATCCCTGCACCAGAACTACTGGGAGGGAGGGGACATCCCAGAAAGGGCAATGTCCTATGCAGGGAGCAGGTAAAGAGGCTCAGAAAAGAAACAGGAGCTGCCTCTCTCCTCTTAATTTATCAGGGGACCCTTGTGCCATCTCTTGGCCTTGCTCAGGAATTATTTGAAGAAAGGTATAAGCAGTAAAGGGCTTAACTGCTGTTTCCAGCATTGGAGAACAACAGGTTTTGGGCTGTGCTATTGCAGCACAAGATGAGGATACCTTGTTAGACAACCCAAAATGTGCCACGGTTGATATTTTGCAAGCTGATGATAATACTTTAATCTTCATGTACAGCCTGAAACGGAGCTGCTCAAGCCGATGTTCTTGGGTGCTTTTCTCTGGTGGCTTTGTGTAAGCAGATTGAAGCAATCCCAGTTGCTTGTCACACACCTTCCAGTGAGGCACAGCAGATGAAGGGTTTAATAAGGTTAGTGGATATATCCCCGTGCCTTTGGTGGGTTGAAACCATAAGGGCTTAACTGCTGTTTCCAGCATTGGAGAACAACAGGTTTTGGGCTGTGCTATTGCAGCACAAGATGAGGATACCTTGTTAGACAACCCAAAATGTGCCACGGTTGATATTTTGCAAGCTGATGATAATACTTTAATCTTCATGTACAGCCTGAAACGGAGCTGCTCAAGCCGATGTTCTTGGGTGCTTTTCTCTGGTGGCTTTGTGTAAGCAGATTGAAGCAATCCCAGTTGCCTGTCACACACCTTCCAGTGAGGCACGGCAGATGAAGGGTTTAATAAGGTTAGTGGATATATCCCCGTGCCTTTGGTGGGGTTTTTTTCTGCTTTTGAATGTGTGTGTGCCAGGGAAAGGAGGATGCTGCATGATGCTGAAAACTTGCATTCCTAAGGAGCTCGAATACTCTGAGCACCAGGTGGGACAGAGCCCAGGAAGGTCAGAAAATCACATTAATCCAGACTGCTCAATGAGATCCAGTTACAGGGTAGCTTTGTTCAACTTTATTTACTTAACACCTCTCTCTGTTAAGTATAAGTAAAACATTTTTCGGCTCAGGAACAATAACAGAGATAGCACAGCAACCCTGGCTGCAAGGTTGCTGAAATATCTTTCTGCTTTTTTAAACAGAGAAGTAGATTCCTTCAACGTTTCCTCTTGTAAGTTGTACGTTTAATTGCTGATGGTTTTGCCAGACATTAACCACTGGTGCTGACTTCCCCGAGCTGGGTTGTCTGCTCCAGGCTCAGCATTATCATTTTGTGTTAACACCTCAGCAAAACCGGTTGGGCTGATCTTGAGCTGGAGGAACTTGGGTTGCTCCGGCCATTTTCACACCACCAGCAAAAAACATTCTATAACCACTGCAGAGGGAAGATCAAATGTCCTTGTGCTTTGGGGCAGGGACCTATCTGACCCACATCTCCCCTTTCTTTGGTACCGTGCCACATGCTGATACCTGTAGCCATGTCGTCAGCTGCATAAAATCTCTCTTCTTCGTCATTTTGGTGAAGAGCAACAACGTGGATTCTCTGAAGGTGCTGCATCTGGGCTGAGCACCCTCTGCCTCAGTACAGCTCCTGTGGGGGGACATGTGTAACCCATAGGATGGGTCCACCTTGCTTCAAAGCTGGGTGGCTGATGTGAGATACAGAAACACTCTTATAGGCAGCATGTAACTCACCTCATCTCAGGATAGACAGGGGGAAACATCATCCCTTGGAGATACCCCTTCCTCCTCCTCTCATGCTCTCAGCTATAAACAGAGTAGGTGACTCTTTAATATGAGCTTCATAGCCCTTAGATAGCCAGAAGCAGGTCAGACAAATCCCACTCTACTTCCTTGCCGTGAAATCTCCCCTCTTGGCTCTTCCTCCCCTGACTCTGCACTGCTCCACACCACCAAAATCAACCCCCCTGCAGGTTTCCTCATCGTTATCCTTTTAAAACCCACCCCGCATCCCTGCCTGCCAGCAGGGATGCAGCAGTGGTCCAGCCTCTCCTCCCTGAGACACCCCCCCCCCCCCCCCCCTCAAGGTGAGGAGATGCTGGTTTCTGTGGTGTATGAGGTGGATGGAAGCCCTCTCTGCTCAGTCACATCGAGTGGAGAGTTTCACCCTCCCCATAGTTGGCTGTAATGACTCAGCCTTCAAACGATGAGCTAATATCAGGCATTTGGAATCGGGAGCTATTCAGAGCAAAACAGCTCTGTAAAGTCTTCTGGAGCTGCAGATACGCCTTGTAGGGAGCCTTTTTTCTCCCCATCTTCTGCAATTTGTAGAAAAGTCTAAATTTCACCTTTAGTAATAGAGAAAACATTTTCATTTCCAGCCTCTGGAAGGATGCTGGAAAACATAAGAAGAGGATGAGTTGCCGTCTGCCTCTCTACAGGTTATGATGAATTAATGCAATCAAGAGCAGCACAGTCAAACAATTTGGAGCAGCAGAAGTAGAAAGCGGGTTTGCGGGTTTTATCGCCTCCATAAGAGCAAATTTTGCACGCTGTAAGATGATAAATTAATGCTCAGAGCCTCTTCTCTGCACAGTCGGTGATATGGATCGACTGATCCACACGCTCTTCTCCGTGGGCAGCGCTCTTCCCCAATGCTGGCAAGATGATTATTGGAAAACTAATCAGCTCTATCTGAGATAAATTGCGTTTCCACCAATTATAGCTTAATTGTTGACAGATGGGAACACAGAAGGGAGATGTGTCACATCATTAAGAGGACAGGTGTATAGACAAGTGCCAGATTAATTGTTCCAGCCCATTAAATCATTGACCTTTTCAGCATACCCTCAACTTGGAATTCAAAGCTCTCACGATATTTCCAGCTCACACACACGATGACCATGTTTATCAGCAAAGTTCTCAGGGGCATTTTTAAAACACACAGACTCATTAAGACACTCATTTAAAACACTCATGGACTCATTAGCCACGAGCAGTGTTCCCTTCTCATTAAAATCGGTTCTCTTCTTCCTCCTTTGCTGTGTTGGGGTTGGGCTCCTTGGTTTTTCAGTGAAATCACACGTGGCATGTGGGCTTTCTCCAAGCCGCGGTCTTCTCCATGGAGCTGTGCTGTAATGGGCTGTACATTTTGGGATGTCAAAAAGAGAGAGGTGAAATCAAGACAGAGAAACCCAGTGCTGGGCAGCTGTGCTGGAGCCTCCAGCTTTGATTGGGGGCTTTGGCTGTGATTCCCAGCTCCTGCTCTGCCTGGGATTTTCAATAAAGCCCAAGAGAGACAAATAGCTAAATACCATTGAAACTGAGTCAGCCATGGGTGTCTAGTTCCCCTAAATATATGTCAAAATGTGTCTTCTGCTCTTTTTCTGGCTATGTAATCCAGGAAGCTCGGGATGCAGTGCAGACACATCCCAAACAGCTTTGTGGGAGGTAGAGGTTCGAGGTAGTGATGCAGGACGTGCCTCATCTGTCCTGAGCTACCCAAACCTTGTGCTGCTCTGGAAAATTGAGAACTGACTCCAAATCTAGTTTCTCTAGACATGAAAAATAAGAGGATAAGATTTCCAGCTGAAGGAAATGGAAGTTGCTGTGATGATAATCATGTTTTTTATCTCTGCAATCCCTGTCCTGTGCCAATGAGCTGATTTAAAGGTGTACTACCCTCTGGTAGGGTTTGGAGAGAGCAAGTGGAAAACAACCCAGGGAGACCAGCAGGAGGTATGAGGAAGAGTTGATGGCCTTCATCAGCTCTGAAACTTCAGAGGTAAAATTGATGCTGGGAAGGCAGCAGGTCTTCTTCCCGGGGCCAGGGCTGGTGGTGATCTCTCTTCCTCCCTTGTGTAGCACAGGTCACCCACATACCCACAATAATGTCACAATAAAATAACTGTAAGATGCCTAACTGAAATCCCAGGGAATTATTTTATATATGTGCTTGAATGACTTACTGTGTTCCACAAAGATGAGGCACCTTTACTTCAGTGGCTTTATGGACCTACACAGACAACCAGAGAGGAGACAGGAGAACTGGGTGAAGTTTTCTCTCAGATAACAAATGGTTTTATAAGGAAAATAGATAATTTTATGGGAAAAAAATACACTTTAGGAGAGATGGGAACTGCAAGGATCTCTTTGATAGGCCTGATATACTTCATATAACAATCTTTTTTCAATATACTTGGAAACGTCAGGTTGCAACAGGGCAGCTTGTTCAAAATCTTGGCGGATGCAACAGTCTTGACCAACACCACTGGGGTCTGTGCCTGCAGGAGATGCTGGAGATCCCTCAGTTTCTACCACTCACTGCACAGCGCTGAACCCTGAGCAGAGGAAGTAAGTGAACAAAAGCCAGCTTTTTCAGAAGTTCATCCATAAAATTGGAGGTTAGTACTGGAGAAAGTATGTGTATTACTGTGTCCGGGGGAAGGAAGGAGAGGGAATTCCAAAAAAAGGTCAAAAAGGAATTTTAGAAAGGACAGAATATTTGTTTTAAAGAATTCCTAAATGAATCATTTTACCTTGCATTTTGAACTGGGGTTTTGTGGTTTAGACAAGGATATAAGGTTGAAAACAAGTTAAACAGAAAGGTTGCGTAACCCAGAGGCAAGCAAAACATTTCATTTCTGTTGGAACTTAATAGTTGGGGTTAACTCAGAATATTTTCCAGCTTCTGCTTGGTTATTTTGCCAGCCTCCTCCTCTTCCCTCTACCCCCACTTCGTTGTTGCTCTGCCCAAGCCATTTTTTTCCCCAGATATTTTGGTTCAGCCACACAACCCAGACAGTCATTATTCACTCCACACCAGTGATCTCCTCATTTCCAGCTGTCCTTTCCACCAGCCTGTGCTCCCAGAAGTGTGCTTACTGCGAACATCGTGTCTCCACCCGTGGTCCATCCATCCAGGGGGAGGTTCAGCCCCACCAGAGCTGTGGCTTGCTCCTTCAGCACGTCCCTCTCACCCCAAGCCATGCCACTAGAAATCCTTATCAAAGAAGTCATCGAAGAGAGAAACTCTCTCTGTCTTTGTTCTCACAAGCGTAGGTTTGCGGTAGATCCTCTCCTCCCTTTCCCACTCCTCAGAGCTGGAAGTGTCCCAGAACAGATCCCTCGTCTGCGGCTCCCTGCAGAACCACAGGTCCACCTTCCCTCTTCTGCCTGGAGAAAGTTCAGCCTCATCATGCTGCCTGGAGAGTCCTTCACCCCATGGGTTTCCTTGGGGAGAGAAAAGAAAAAAAAAAAAAGATCAAAAATCATAATTTTGTGGAGCTGCACACCCGGTCCCCCAGAGTTTAGCTGGAAATGGCTATGGGCAGCTGGAGAAGATCCTGAGAGATCCCTGCAAGACCAGACCCCATGCTTGGGGCTGGGCAGGGCCAGGTATAATATATCCAGGATTATATTTGATGAAATCACGGAGTCTGGCAAGAGGCAGTTTTGGTTTTATCTCTGAGCAGAAGAGAGTTGGGGCAGAAACCCACGAGGGAACAGGAGCAGCCAAGTCTGTTCCCCTTTCTCCTGATGAAAGTTCACAGGCAGGCAAGTTTTTCACTGATTTCAGCATTTTACCCTTGATGGTACGTTTCCAGCCTGTGCTGTCGTGTGCAAGCAAAGCAGAAATGAGGGTGTGTCGGGGAAGTCACTACGAAATGGAGACTGAGATTGACTTTGATTTCCCCTTCTTTGGTGACAGTAAGGTCACCTTGTGTGCCCTGGCATCTCCAAATCCAAAGCATCACAAGTCAGGCCTTCAGATTTATGCTACGCCCATTCCTGCTGCTTGCCCATCCTCGAGGAGTGCAGGGGAATCATGGGATAGAATCACAAAACCATTTAGGTTGAAAAAGACCTTTAACATCATCGAGTCCACCTGTAAACCTAACACTTCCAAGTCCACCACGAAACCATGTCCCTAAGTTTCCATGTAAAACTCAACCTGAAAAGTGAGGAACCTCAGTGATTGTAATGTTTACCCCGTGGTCATTTGGGATGGGCAGGAGTCCACAGGCTACGCCGTGCAAATGCACACAGCATCACGGTGGACCATGCAAGGATGAAGCTGGGAGCAAATCTCCAGCAGCTGTTGCTCCAGCAGCTTGTTCTCCATCTCTTGGAGGGGACAAACTGAGACTCTTCTACCAGTGGGAACTGCTCCTGCAGGGACCTGCCCTGAGGTCCTATTCCATGGCTCTTAAATCACATCTACTCAAGTCTGTTTGGATGTTATCAGAGAAGCAGCCCAGAGCCTGTGTCCTGCTCTGAGACATCCCAATGCTTTGCCTTACAACCACATCTCACTGCTTTCCCTCCTCGGGCTCTGAATTGCACCGTGTCACAGCAGGAGGTGGGGCAATGGAGGCAGCTTCCATAGCAGAACTTCCCTGATGACATTTAAGATGCTGGTGAGTTTTCATCTCCTTGGAAAATTATTCCACTTACCACAGTCATCTCCATGAAAACGCTGATTGTGCTCAGCAGGGACGAGGTCTCGGCTTTCGGCGCTGTCGCCTCTCTGGAGTGTGTCAAGGACTTTCTTTGGGCTGAATTCCTTGATTTTTTGTTTATTGATTTTTGCCTCCCTGTGGAGATTTCGCTTCAGCTCTGCCTGGGTTTGCAAACGAGTTGTCAACACAAGCAGCAGAGGAGCAAACACTTTTTAATAGCTCAACGTGGCATATCATTAGGGGATCGGCGCTGGAAATAATTACGCAGTCAAGTCGTTTAACCCAGGAAAATGGTATTTGCCAAACTGGGTACATGACATAACGTGACCCGGACAGAGATAGTTAGTTTCTCCATGAGCCATGGCCAAAATGGGGCAAAGCATTGGAAAAATCCGAATCACTGACCATGGGGACCCCAAGGATGCTCCCCACCTCAGAATTACTGACCGCAGGGATCCCAAGGATGCTCCCCACCTCGCCTCCACCTAAACCACCAGGAAAGCTTCGTTTGACCTTTCCATCAAGAGGCTTTAAGGTTTCTGGTCCATCAGAGACTCCAGGGATGGGCAGACCCCCATCTGAGCCCCTCCCCAAACCCATCTCAGCATTACCTCTCGGCGCCTGCGGGTCAAGTCCAGCATCTGCAGCTTGTGCAAGTGCTGCCGCCTGCCAGGGAGGTGTCTCAGGCTTTGCCCCCTCTTCTCCAGAGCCTACGAGGTGTTCAAAAATGTAAATAAATACACCTGCACTTGCTGAAAGAGAAGGAAACAGCCTCCAGCTCACAGACCCACGCCCAGTCCCTCCGGTGCTCCCCGGGTAAAGGCACCGAGCATCTCCCGGCGTAAGCCAAATTGCAGAAATTTATTACAGATTTCCACTGCACTTGCAGTTTACCTCACAGCTCTGGGGCACGGTGGAAAAAAAAATAATAATCTTGATTAAAACGATGTATCCGTGCTTCTGCCCCCTGAGGTGATACCGCTTTGAGCTGGCTGTCCAAGATAATCTCGTGATCCGAAGGGAGGAACCCCTTTTGCACGTTTGGGGCTGCGGGGGGTGTTTATGGTGATGAGTGTTCAAGCTGATGTGAAAAACCAACGTCGGCTCCTCAAGGTGCCTGAACCATGAGGAAAGGAGCCTGCAACCCGCAACGACCCATCCACAATGCTCAACCCAAGCACTTACCTTCGTTTTGGGGCTTGTAGCCACCTCTTGCTGACTCCAGGGCTCTGCAGGAGTGATTGCTTGCGAAGGGCCAGCAGGTTCAAGCCTCTGCAAGGCAATATTTATAATGTTCAGCATTCCTCATTTCACACCATCACAAAACTTGATATAAAACTACTCTGACGTTTTTCCAGCTCCAATTCTGGCCTGACTGCTTGGGGTACAGGAAGGAGATTGGCATCTCTAGCAGATGCTCAGAGAGATGAGCATTTCTTACAGTCCTTTGGGTGCGGACAAAACTGGGGGAATCTCCTGCATTGGAGTCAAAGTTGCAAAACCCCAGTTGGAAACTGGTTTCACCACTGTAGGTATTATTTCTCTTGGAGCCTTAACAGTGCCCAAGGCTCCAGCCAAGACCAGAGTAAAGACAAACCCCAGCCCAGATTGCTTAGTGTCAAAGCCAAATCGTGAAGATGTATCATAATGAAATACAAAGTCTTTTATCAGGTCATCCGAGGGCAGATCCCAGTTACCTGAGACCCAGAGCACAGTTCCCTCTGTCCAACCAGTCTCTTTTACGTTGGCCTAAGTGAGGCAGTGAGACCTTCCTCTGCAGAGCTGTGCATGGTACAAAGTGCTTTTCCCAGTGGCTAATGGAGGTGGGCAGAGGCTTGCTTTGCAGACTGCTCTGAGCATAGTTTTTTTTTTTTATCTTAAGGAGCTAAGTTGCCTCCTTAAATCATGACAAACTACCGGGTCATTTCATGGCTTGATATTGCCAGTGTCCCCTTCTAGGGTGGGAGCTCTGTACAGCTTCCATAAAAATTAAGGGGAGCATCATCAAGGACTTCAACAGCAAGACCTGACTTACACTTTAGGTGGGACATCATTAACCTCTTGAACATGAACTAGAGTGTCCTCTAAAGAGTGACATGCCTCTGGATGTCTGCACTGAACTGCTGCCAAAGCCTGAGCTGTCACTTTGAAGCATCCTGTAAGTCAGTGCAATAACACAGGAGAAAAAAATTCAGCAGCATCTTATAAAGGAGGCATCCCCCGTCAGCCCTGAACGCCAAGTTCTCACGTCTTTCAGCATCAAAAAAGCCCACAAAACTCAATATGAAGCTCAGAAAATGGCACTAGATGGCAGCATGTGACACCACAAACTGCGGTCCGGGCTGTGCATCACTCCTAGATGCCACCAAGGCAGCCAGTGTGGGGTGGCTGAAGGCAGACAAACTCCCTCGACTGTCATCTCATCTCTCTGCCTCTCTCGGGGAAGCCAAGTTTCAGGCTTTCAGCTAAAGTTGTGTCCCAGGCTGGAAAACTGACTCTTTTCTTTCGTCTCTGTGACCCTCATGGGATTCACCTCTGGAAGCAGGGGGTAGGACTGACGGTGGTGGTGTCCTGCAGTGAGTGTTTTAATGATACATAAATACAGCCGTAATGGAAATAAGATCAATGACTAAAAATTACATGCTGGCAGGAGATTTTTAGATAAGTCTGTGATTCCATGTGACAGTTCAGTGTCTGTAGCCAGGCTCATTCCAGGTGCGGCTCCCTCACCCTCCCACCAAATCCAGGGACATGTTATTCAATAGTTTGTGGCCACCTGTGCTCTCTGAAGCCACGGTCGTGGCCAGAGATGCAACTTGGGTTTCAACTGACCCTGCCTGGTGGTTCCTCTGTTCTTTATGATATTAAAAAGACCTTAATCACAGTAGAGAAGGCTTGAAAAAAGCACCCCTGCTTCAGCAGGTTTGTCACTGAGTTTTGGGAGAGCAGAGATGCTCTCAGGGAGGACCAGGCAGGGTGTCAGAGCAGCACAGGGGAGTGGGATGTTCACCCAAGGGTTTTAATTGCAAGGGAAGGAAGATAACCAGTGGTAGCTGGTCCAAGCTGCACGTAGCAGTGGGACAACCCAGCACCTACAGGAGTGCTACAGAGAAGCACGTGGCCAGTTGGAGCAAATAGAACCCTTTCATGGGTTAAACAGCCAAGAAACATGTTTGCCTCCGTTTGTCCCCAACCACCAACAGCTGAGGACTCCCTCCAGCCACCTAATTAGGCTGTTGATGTGCCCCATGCAGCTGGGCTCTCTTAGAAGGCTCTCAGCAGCAGGTACAACATCGACCCTTAATTGCTAGTTAAAAGACCTGCCTAAATGAGATCATGGGGTACAGGTGTGTAGTTTTAGCAGCCGAGGGCTTCCTCCAGCAGGACACCCTCCTGCACCCATGCTTGGAGGGGTCTGTTCAAGTTGTTCCCTTTCCCTGTCTGATTTTATTCCTCTGAGCCCTGTTTGCTCTCAGTTTCAGAGCCCCCACACCTGGGGGGGGGCAGAGCAGAAACACAGCTGAAAGCTGGAGTTGGGAAGGAGAAGGATCTGAGGAGCAAAGTGGGAGAGCTGCAGCTCTGGGACATCCAGAGTGGGGCTGAGCTTGGTGCTCCCCAGCATTCCTGACCATCTGTGGGCAAGGGAAGGAGGGACAACTCAATCTCAGCCAAGCACCAATAGCTTTTCATCTTAAATAGCAAGCAGGTAAGAGAGGGGAAGTTGGAAGGTATGGCTGGCTGGTTTGGGAGGGCATGGAGAAGGGGTGGCAATGCAGGTGGAGTGCAGAAAGCAGTGTGCTTCTCTGGGGCTGGGTTTTGGTTTTAAATAGCCTGATTCATGGCAAGAATTGAACAGCCCCAGTAATGCAGCTCCAGCTCAGTCCTGTGAGCATGTGATGGTCTGACCCTCACCCAGCTTTTTGTATTGTATAAAAGCATCAGTGCATAAAAAATCAGCACAGAAAATGCATGTGGAGGGCTTCTTGTTGCTTTATTGTTTTTTTAAATGAAATAGCAACCCTTGTGTGGTATGGTACACTAGGGGTGTTTCCTTTCCTTCTTTGCAGTAAGTCTATGGACGTAAATTTATTTTTGGAGCTTTAGTGATGTTGTGGTAACTCTTGTGTGGGGAAAAACCTGATTGCCAGGTAAGGCAGTCATGGCTTGCAGGGCTTGGAGGGGAAGGGAGCTGGGAAGTGCAGAAAAGGGGAAGGAAGATCGTGGAGGAGTGAACAAAGGTGTTTTATGTGGGTTTGGGAAGGATTTATTATTTATATTGTTTTTTATATCTAGCTACGCAGATGTGTGGTGCACATGTACATACAGTGTAATTGAGGAGAGAAGGTGAAGGTACAGTGAGGTACCCAGCATGCAGAGCAATTCTTAAAAATTAAAATAACTGCTCTGTACTTTCAGTAGCCCCTATAGCAAAGCACAACTGTCTGCTTTACCTGTCTCTCAGCCCCTAAGCTGATGCCAGCCTTGGTGGGATGTTTGGCCTGAAGAGCCAAAACCAGCCCCACGTGATGGAAGTCAGATCCCTTCTGCAAAGGGCCTTGTCTTGGCCACATTAGCCCATGGGAGAACTAAGGTCTGGCTGCAGGGACCCACACACCACAAAGGAAAACAAGTCATTACGGGAGAGGTGGCCTCATGGCCAGCACTGGACATGTGTCCTTCTTGTGTGTCTCCGTGGCACATGGAGTCAGGCAGCAGGGCAAAGGCAAGGTCTCACTGTGTTGGTGCCTCTATGGCTCTTAGAAGATGAAGTCCTCTCCTTTGTACTAATGAACCAAAAAGTCCCCCTCTCTGTGGTCAACATACCTGCTCTGCCCCAGGTATCAAACTTGAGCTGGTGATAGAGCTCATCTCAGGATGATCATCTAGAGATGGGACCTCCTGCTTGCATTGCTGTAGGATATCTGTTTCCCCCACCGTGGTGCTGTGACATGTGCCCGTGTCCCCAAGAACGCCCATGTCAACGGGTCAGTCAGAGCAACCCATAGGGAGCTTTTTCAAACTCATCTTACTTGAGGTCTTCGAGGCGGGTGCTGTTTAATGATGCTGGTTTCTCCCTTTTCTGGCACGGTGTTGAAAGAAAGGGGCCCTTAAAGGTTAGAGAAGAAATGGATGAAGTTACTTTTGGGTGATCATCAGCTGTCAGGCTGAACAAGGCAATAGTTTTCTGCCCTTGTTTTTTGGTTGGCACGCCCTACTTACGTCTCTGTTGGTGTACCCCAGTGACACGTGGTATATTATAAGATATTTAAGATATTTATAAGATGAGATATATAAGATATTGTATTGGCTGTAGAAATAAGGTGAGAATGTACATGTGCCTCTGGTTTCTAACAAGCATCTATGACATACCTCTCCTACTTTCCTGTACAACATCTCATATGTGACAATAACCACCCTCCACACCTCCTGTGGCCACCTTGAGCTTTTAAAATGGGGAACAGGCGGCGGTTTGGACCTCTTCTTGCTGCTCAGTCTCTGAGACTTTACTATTTTTACTTTTCTGATGGAACCGAGAAATATCTCTGATGCTTTTACTGACCTCAGCAGAGCTGGGCTACAGCTACTTGGTGGGTTCAGAAGTTAGTAGATTATGGGCAGACAAGCGGTACGATCACAGACCCTCATCATCTTTGGAAATCAGCCCAAAATAACGTGCTACACACCAGTGATCACCTGTTATTAAAGCAGTGCTTTTGCTGAGGCCTGAACGTGGTCTGGGCTCAGGGCCATTCTGCCCTGGTGATCTCACACAAATATTTTTCTTGCACAAATAAATACTTGCACATGCCATAAGTATCTCTTTTACAAAAGAGTTCCTCTATCCCACCTATTCTCCCCAAAAAACTGTCCTGGGGGGTTCAAATGCCATTTTATATGTGGAGCTGAGCGAGTTGTTGCTGAGCAGCTCCTGGTCCCACGTGGTGGGAGCCCTGAGGCGACTGCAAGGGAAGGGAGTTAATGGATAAAGGGCAGGAGTTACATTATCATTGACGCCAAATTTAATAGTTATATTAAAAAGAAAAAAAATAATAATTATTGTAATAATAAACCCTAGGGGGACTTCAGGGGTCCCTGTAAATGAGTCCCATGGGAGGCTGCCAAGGCAGGGATCGTGGAGAAGAGAGAGAGAAGGTGACGGAGGGTGTTGGGGTATGGGAGGAGATGGTGACTCCATCGGATAAATGATTGCTGGGCTCTGCTGAGCACTAACAATGATTAACCTCTGAGCACATGCAGGAATGGATGCCTGAAGTGAAAATTTCCAGCACAGGCAGCTCCTCCGGAGACAGACTTCAGCTGCCAGAGAGCACGAGCTGGAATAGCAGCTCCTAATAGCAAAAGGGGGGGTTATTAAGTTATTGCCTCTCCATCTGCAGGACAAATCAGTGCATAAAGAATTTCTAAGGGGGAAGTAAAATACAAGGGGGTGACTCACGGTGCTGGGAATGTGGGACCCGGCACAGACAAGGGGCTGGGGCTTGGGAGAAGCTCGTTCTGGCAAGATGTATGACTTTGGGGAAGTTATTTCTCCCTTATGGCTTTTTTTTTTTAAATATATTTAAATTATTCCCTCTATCCATGCATGTGTCTTGTAGGAGATTTGCCCTTATCCTCTACACACACAGATCAGGGAGCCAAGTGCTTGCTGTGCCCAAACCCTCTCAGTTCTGGGGCAGGGACCATTGTCCCACCACACAGCCACCACTGAGGGAGCATCAGGCCCAAGCTGGAGTCATTTTTGTGACTTTTTTTTTTTTTTTTTAAATCCCTGTAATTCAGTAGCAGCAGGTTCTCCCCATTGGAGGAAGTGGGATTTAACACAAGCCAAGATGAACCCTCATAAACCAAATAAAACCTATTCTCTTGGAGGCTTTGCTTACTTAGATAGACTCTTGAGCTAATACATCCCTCAAGTACTCTTGAGCATACTCTTTTTATTTCTGAAAATGAAAAGTAATAGAAAATGACATTTATTGAGGAGATTTTAAAGTTTTTTATAAAAGCATACATATTTTACAAGCCCTTGTTAAATACCCGCTGATGATAGTTTTCCAGAACAGGGATATTTGGTTGTTCTTGCTGTCGTGAAGTACTTGAAACTCCCTGTGGTACAGCCAGACCTGATCTGTATTCACCCCAGGACTTCTGGCTCCGGGAACGTCACTGCTGTCGTGCCTGAGGTTTATTTGCTTTCACCTTCTCCTAATGCCTCTGGGCAGATGATCCTGAAGGAAATATCCAGTCCCCGGTGAAGCAGCGGTGCTTAATGCTGCTAGGGATGTGTCAGAAATCCATTTTTTTGGAAATGGAGAAGGAGGGAGGAGGGTGATGGGGCTGTGGGTCCTCCTTCCTCTGCGTTGCCCTTTCTCAAACCACGTTGGCTTTCATGGGGAGGTTTCTCCCTGAGCTCACCCAGGGTGGCCCTGGGGAGTTGTTTGTCACCACCCAGCTTGTTGTCCAGAGCCATACATCCCCTTTCAGGTGGGTCCAACCCTCCTTCCTTCCCTCTGGGAAGGGTCTGGGTATGGATGGAGTGTGAGCCCTGCTGGGAGAGGCTGCGTGATGCCACTTGTGTGAAGCTACACTATTTGCCTTCCTCTGTCTCTTGGCTTATGGATTCAGCCCTGTGCGAGACACGGCTATAATTTATTTTACTGCTGATTTTTACCTGCTGAGCACATTACCCAGAAACTGATTCTAATTAAGCTAATGATATCAATATACCCAGTGGTGTAAGGTGAGCAGGGCTAGGAGCTACAGGGCGTTTGTATGAGGGCTGGCTTGGAAACAGGCTGGTGTCACCACGTGCCAGGTCGGTGCAGGGGACTGGGGACATTCCCGGGGGATGAGGGGTGGGAGGAAGGAGCCTGGGATTTGGTGACTTTTCCAAAGCAGGCCGTGGACAGGGGGAGTGGGAATGAGTTTTCCCAAAGCTAAAATATCCTGGAAATAGTAAAAAATCTCCTGATGTGGAATGACGTGCGCACCCACCTACACCTACCCCGCACTGCGGCGAGCAGACCCCCAGCCCCAGGTGATGCCCTCTGGTTCTCTGCCCTGCTCTTGGCCATAATTCAGTGATGACCCCCCCCCTCTTACCTGCAGAGGCTCTCCCGTACCAGGTCTCCCGGAGAGGTGGAAGTTGCTGGTGAAAGGTGGGGTTTCCCCACTCCATGGTGGCCGGTGGGTGCAGGCTGGGCTGTCCTGGCACACTGGGGAGCCCATATGGGGTGGTGAGAGCAGGCAGGTCCTCCCTGGGACGCATGGGTGCCACCTTGGTCACCTTGGGGTGCGCCTTGGAAGAGCTCAGGCCCATATTGCAGAGCGGTGGCTTTGAAAGGAGATGGAAAAAACCCCCCTCATGCACCGTCCTCCCTGAATGTGGAGGGATCTTTGTGAGCAACCATGGGGCCCCAGGAGCTCCCTGATGGCTGCCAAGGACGGGGCTGGCTCCCACAGATGTGCCCACAGGTCCTTCCCACCGTGGTTAAACATTGACATGTCCCCAGCCATTCCCCCTCCAGGAGGAGAGGTGGCTGCTGCTGACCAAGAAGAGGAAAGCAGCTTGGGGAGCCAGTGCCAAGCCCTGGGGAACCAGTTTGTTTTTTACCTACAAGGGATTTTCAACCAAGTGGCGCCACCTCAGCTGACCTGGAGGCATTTCTACAAGCAGATCTTTTGCTAGATCTTCAGTTTTGGGGAGGAAATTCAATCCTCAGAGCACTAGAAGGGTTAAAGCATCTCCCACCCTGAGTGGGAGAAGCTGGCTGAGGAGCATCCTCCACCCTTGCTCCTACCGGCTGGTGGCACTGCTGGAAAAAATGCAGCTTTAGCACAAAACCCACCTGAAAACGTCGGCCAAAGTGGGTCAAATTCTGCAGTTTTGGAGCTCCTGCAGGATTTGGGCCAAACGCGGTAGGATTGGTGCATAAGAGAAGGATCTGCACTTCTCCATCTGCTTCCAAGGGTGAGGGGGTTCAGAGGGCACAGTGTGCTCGGAGCTGTAGGGAGCCATTCATTTCCAGGGCAGAGTCCTCGGAAAATATGTAGGGAGGATTATTCATGTGATAAAATTAATATTGCAGGGTGGGATTTTTGGCAGGAATAGGGTTGCGAGAGGAAGTCCCAGCACAGGTGAGGGACTGGGGCTTGGTCTGGCAAAGTTCTGGGGAAGTTATTTCTCCCTTATGACATTTTTTAAAGGAATATATTGAAATTATTCCCTGTGACTTTATCTATGCACGTATCTTATAGGAGGTTTGCCCTTTTCCTCTGCAGATACAGAACTGGGAGCCAGGTCTTCACTGTCCCCAAACCTGTTTGATCCCAGGGCATGATGCTGGTGGGGAGGGATCACTGTCCCAGTGCCCAGCCACCACCGAGGGACCACCAGGCCCAAGCTGAAGTCATTCTTGTGGCTTTTATTCTATTTTATTTTATTTTATTTTGTTTTGCCCTTGCACTTTAGTATCAGCAGATTCTCCCTGCTGGATGAAGTGGGATTCACCACAAGCCAAGATACTGGGAAAAATACAAGGGTAGGGCAGTGCCATGAGTTGGGGCAGGGTGTTTTCCCACAGAGGAGCAGAGTTTCTTACTCACCTGTACTTGGAGCAAAGATGAACCAAGGGGAGTGTTCAGCACAGGGCACCGGTCTGACATCCAGCAGCAACATCAGGTTCTCGCTGCCTTCATCCTTCTCCTTAAAAATGAGTTTTAAATTATGAAAAACACGGGTGCGGGAGGAGTTGGAAAGTGGGTGGCATGGATTTTTGCCAAAATAACGCCTGGATTTTATGCAAATCTCCGGTGAATAAAGCAGAAAGCACGATGTGAATAGACTGGGATTCTGTGCACACACTCGCTGTCATTTATCGTGCTTGCAGTGTGTTTAGCTGGCGACAGCCTGAACAAACGGAGCAGCCAAGAGAGTAAAAATAACCCAGCACCGTCTCGGTGGCGGGGACACACACCGGTGTGACTCACAGATCCCGTTATTACACATCTGTAAAGTCAAGAAATAGGGCTCTTTCCTCCCTCTGCTGCGTGTCACTTGTATTAACAGAGGATGTTCATCTTATCTCAGCTGAGGCTGAGGGTACCGGTGGTGCTGAGGTGACGTTGTGGGTGGTACCTGGAGAGGGTGAGTGCAGGCGTCGATGCTCGAGGAGGGGTATTCAAAAGACAGGTTGATGTAGTGCTGGGAGGTATGGTTTAGTGATGGTGATGCTTCTTGTTTGTTGTGTGGGTGTCTATTTTTGTCAGTTAGGTTGACGGTTGGACAAGATGATTTTTAAGGTCCCTTCCAACCTAGAAGATTCTGTGATTCGTGGCACGTTTTGTTTTTCTTCCAGAGAGCCGGGTCCTGGCGTGAAGAAGAAGCTGATAATGCAGCTTCTGGATCAAAACTGGCACTTTCCTCGAGACGGTGCAGCTGAAATGAAACCCGGAGACGGCGGAAGGGCTCGTCGGGGACGCCCACAGCGGCAGCAGCAACCGCATTGGATGGGTGGCTTGACAGGCGTGATTATTGGTTTGCCTCCCTCTGATGGATCATCGTGCAAAATAGCCTCCGTTCGTTGTCTGATTTTGTGAGTTTAATGGGTTTTCTCCGGCTGGAAGGCTGAGCTGGGCTCCAGGGGAAACAATTACCTCCCTCACTTAATAAGGAAGATGAACTGCAGGCCGGGCAGCGGGTGGAGGAGGGCGCCGTAGGGAATCGCTGAGGTGGGACCCCTGGAAAACATCTCGGCACGATGTAACTGAGGGTTTAGGTACCTGCTCACCTTTGGGGATCTGGGGCACTTGTGGCTACAGCGACAGCCGTGTCCCGGAGCTGATGGTGGGAAGGATGCAGGAGCGAATCCCTCCTGCCCACCCACTGCAAGGGCTGGGGTACCAAGGCCATGGTAGAGAGGGGAAAGCCTTCTCCAGCTCTGGTCCAACCCTCAGCGCTGTTCCCTGTACGGGCAGCAAGGTGGGGGATGCTTGTTCCTGGCAGAAAGCTTGGGTTGGGTTAGATGGTGTCTGTTAAGCTTGATGTGAGGAGAAAGGTGGCTGCTGGGCTCAGAGCTACATGAGTTTTCTCCCTGTAGAAAGACAAGGGTGATCCTTGGTCCCTGGGGATGGGACATGCTCATGGAGAGTGACAGGCTGGCACAGTAACACGCTCTGCCCCTGGCCATGACAAGTAGGAGAAAAGTAGGGAAAAAAAGTAGGGGAAAAGTGACTCAAACACAGGGATTTCAAGTGATTTTCCCTGCTGAATACTCAATGGTGTTCCTTGAAGGATCCAGTCCTGGGCCTGAAGATGCTGCCATAAGGCTGCTTGCCAAACTGTACTCATCAATGCACACTAAAAGGAAATGGTTGTTTCTCCTGTGTGTTCCGTTTGGCAGGAGCTAAAATTTCGGTCAAGCACATCTCTAAAACTCTCTAGTAATGTAAATGACTGTATCAGCCCCAGAATCGACTTGGGGTGGTGCCCGAGCTGCCGTATGCTGTTTGCTCTCAGCTGGATCATCCCATCAGTAGCTCCTCCTGGACAGAATTCATTTTTTTTTCAGATTATTTTTAATGTGTAGCTTTTTTAGAAAGCAGCAGACCAGGAGCCGAGCCCATCTTCTCAAATGCTAGACGAGACTTTTAAAAAAGACAGTGTGTGTGTGTGTGTGACCCAAACCCTGCACCTCCGGGTTTGCCGCAGAGGGGATGGGTGTTTGGGTTGGTTTCTACAGCCCTAATTCTGCAGCCACGGGATGAAAGAGACCAAGTTTGGGGTTTTTTTTTTTAAATATATTGTGTATTAGTATTTTGTTAGCTCTGCTGGTTGCAAGGAACCATTTAGACACGAAGGTTAAAGGTTAAAAAAGAAAAAAAAATCAAATAGAGGAGCGTAAAATAAAATGGTGCTTTTGTTATTAATGACTTGAATTGCTTTGCAGCTGTATTAAGCCCTGATGGTCACAGGGACACGCTGGTTGCCTGCCACCCTCCAGCACCATCCTGCCACCTCTGCCCCTGGGAGAGATCCCTCCAGGACACCTCCAAGCCGTGGGGCTCCCATGGGGCTCCCCCCATGCACCAGGGCAGCATGAGGGGCTCGTTAGGACTCGCCAAGCCAGGACATGGAGAGGTGAGCCCTGATACAAATCACAGCTGTTGTTTTAGTCACACACACAGTTGTTGCTATTGTAAAACTGTTGTTATTAATAACAAGCACTTCGTTTACCTTTTTTTTTAATTGTATTTATTTTTGCCTAGCAGAAATACCAGCAAAAAAACCCTCCTCCTAGCTGCTAATCAAACTCACAAACAGTGGGCAGGTCAGTCGAGCTCAGAAATCTGTGATTCTTCCCAGTTGCTTTTATCTTCCCTTAAAAAAACAAGGGAAAAATAAAAAGCTCTCAAATAAAGGTAATCTTGCCTGGGCAATCCTAGGAATGCTGTTAAAAGAAAACAGCCAGCCAAAATTACACAGTGACAGGCTTAGGGAAGGAACTGGGGAGGTTGGTTTGTTTTGGCTTTTGAAAGGCTTTTCCATGGCAGAGGTTAAGAAAAATATTTGTTTGGCCCAAAGCTCTAGAAAATAGGAACTGACATTTCCCAGGGACGCTGGTGATCCGGCACATTCAATCTCTCATGAGAAGCCTGTTGTTCAGCTGGGAGGGCAGCTTTTCTGGGAGAAAAAGAGATAAATCAAGCTATTTTTGGCTTTGCTGAAGGCACCTAAAATCCAGGGCCGCTGCTGGAAAGTTGGTGTTGGGAAGAGACACAGCTCAGGGTGGCTCTGGGAGGGATGTGGGGCTACCACTGGAGCCTGGTGCCTTTTTTTTTGGGGGGGAGGGGGGTAAAGCTATGGGTGGTCTCAGGTTTGTAGCTACGTGGTCACAGTCTGGAGCAGACCATGGGTGTCATGAGTTGGGTGAGTTCTCCAGCAAAGGCTGGGACATTAAACACATTCTTCTCCTACGCTCAGCAATGGATTTCTCTTTTTCCAACCACGCTGGGAGGCGAGGTGTCTCCTGTACCACCATCGCCCCCACAACTGATGTCCTGGGTGTCATGTGGGTCATGACATCCATACTGAGCTGTGGATTTCTGCTGGCTGCAGGCAAAATACTTGGTGGAGAGGAGAGAAGCTTGTGGGGCCACATTGCTGGGCTATCAGCACTGTAGGACGTCCAGGTTCTGTGAGTTTTCATCACCTGTTTCTCAATAGTGTAACTTAACGAAAAAGTAATGTTTTTCAGACCTCGTAGGATATTTATCCTGATAATAATTCCTAATATCAATGTGAATGTCAGCTTCCTTCAGAAATGAATTCTCAGAAAGTGCCAGGAGAGGTTCAAAATGGCTTTCCAAAACTACTACCTGCCTGAAAGGTCACTGCACTGAAAGCAAGTGGACACGTCTAATT